ATCCTCGACTACCAGATGCTGTTCAGCCTCATATTATGGTTATGAATGTGAGAATAAGAAAAGCCTAAAAGCATTTGGGCTTATGACTAGATGATGAAGAGTTATGACTGGTTGACTGAATTGTTTTTAGTAAGAGTGAAGTATTTCTGAAAATATCGAAATGCAGAATTTTATCCTAAAATTTCGCGCACAGATCGAGCTATTAATTATTAAAATATTCTTAAATTTTCAAAGAAAACGAACGTGCTTTTCTCGAGCTATTCAATTTGCAAGAAAAAAGAATAACAGCTTACCATAGAAAGATACTCTAATGAAATCCATTTGAAAGTTGAGCATCTCGAGAAAGGCATGTTCATTTTCTTTAAAAATTTAAAAACTTTTTAATGATTATTAGTTTTATCTGTAGGCAACATTTTAGAATAAAGCTCTTCATGTTGATACTTTTTTATATATCTTGCTCTTACTAAAAATCCAGAAAAACTGCCATAACTTTGCACCCGTAGGTTATGATTTCGAATCTTTCTAGAATTTTCTTATTCTCAAAGAAATCTATTCATAACCATAAGATCAAGTCGAACAACGTTCAACAGCTAGAAATGCTCCTTCATTAGTGAACAACAGTTAAATAAGAATTATTATTTACAAGTTGTTTGTTTATGCTCCTATTATTCGAATATGATATCGAAGTATGGATATGAAATTCGAAAAGACTAAAGAGCTTTGATTGACATTAACTACATTTTAATAAATGGAGTTTTTTTTTTGCTATATTATAATTTTAGAATCCAATTTGGATCATTAAATACGGCATAAACTAAATTTCTTATAAAAATTGTCTTAATTCCTAAACTTTTTCTTTCTCGAACAAAATTCTTTTGATATAAAATATATAGCAAATTTTATATATATATATATATATATGTATATACCAGTCACTGATAAAGCACGGTTTGTTGGTGATGAATAATTAGAATTCATTGGTGTTAAACTATTGGTTGACACGATTTGTGAATTGATTGAAAGTGGACCATTATTATTATTATTGTTTAAAGGACTTTGTTGAATTGTTATATTATTTGATCTTGATAATAAAATAAAAATATTTTAGAAAATAACAACAAAAACAAAACAAAATGAAATTATACGGTTGAATTTGAACAGTAGATGTTTGAGTTGGTGTTGGTATTATAACAAGCGATGGTGACGGTGATAATTGTTGAGCTGTTAATGATGGTCGAACCGTACTTGTACTGTTATTTATATTACTGTTCGTAGTGCTAACTGGTCGAGATGATTGCGACTAAATAAAAAAAAAAATAATCAAACAATTATAAATATCATTATTTTAAACGGATTTATAAATCAAGAAAAAAGCTACTCTCTCCTTCCGGCTCAAAAAAAGTCGATTTCTGTCAGAAAAATTGAAATTAAGATAAATGCATGTAAAGATAGCCTGGAAAATTTTTTCATACTTTAAAAAATATACTATTCTTTAGAATAAGCAAGACATCTGTTTTACTTTTTCTCTGTTTATGCTTTTTTTAACCGCGCAACCTGGAATTCTTTGTGAGTCTTCATTTCATATATTTAATTTTTCTTTTGTTTGAAGGTGCATGTCAAGATGCAAGGCATGACGGAATTCCTTTTTTTTTGAATGAAGCATTATTATTATAATATAAAAAAAGTACTTTTTTTAATTAGAACGCCATGTTCTAAGAGTTTTTCGATACATTGAACTTATCATCAATTAAATGTATAGACTGAAGACTCACAGAGAATTTTGGCGTGCCACATGAGCTAGTTTTGACTTTTGTTTGTTGAATATTCTCCCGGAAACATCATCGTATAGAGTTGAAAATTTTTATCATAGTCTCTCTACTATAGTTCTAACATATCCTGACAACTTCGTGTAATTTAAATGGACATGGTTCTAGATCTAATTTCGAAGAGGCTCTCAAATTGAATGTACTGTTACTTAGTTTTATTAAGTGAAAAAATAAATAATTTCTTATGTTTCTCTTATACAAATTTTGAAATTCTAACAAAATGTAATCTAAGGAATTTCATTGATAAATTTTCGTCCAAGATTTTTTAACAAATGTTATGACAAAAATATCTACAAGTTTTGGTATCGGCAAGTAGATTTATTCTAGTTAGTCATTAACTTAAAAGGATGAGAGAGCAAGCATTTACAGTGTTTCGTGCTTCGCATGAATTCAGATTAATATTAAATAGAAAGAAGTTTAGATGTGTCTGTCTTACAGAGTACCATAAGAATCAATCTTGCGAGATCCAAGCCGAGCATAATGGAATTCTACTCGGTTTGATCCGATCCGAGTTCAAAGATGCTTTCGATCTATGAAAATGAGTTTTTTTCTCAGAGATTAAATATCTTTTTTGGATGAATCCGTAGAACTTCTTGCAAAATTAAAAACAACAAAATCAATGTCACATTCAAAATTGCAGTTTTTTTCCTAATGTGAAGTCCAATAATAGTTAACTTATTGTAGCCGGATCAGAGTTGGAGTCTAATGTCTGATTCGTTCGAAAGATTTCGCTCCAGAGAATTTAAGTCTCTAAAATGACTACCCAAAACTAAAAACTTGGTATCAGAAAATAAAGAATGCTTTTTCAAGTACATCTTATTTACGGGAGAACTTCTTCAGCTGCTACTTTCTGATTTCAATAATTTTTTGCCTATAGGGAACAGGGAACGTTTCAAATCTTAAAAAAGACTTTGTTCAAAACTTCTGAATTTTTTTTATGGAAGCTAGTCTAGTCGAGTTCTCTATAGATACAAAGTTTTAGATCAAAATTCAATACGAGGTTGCTGAAAACCTGACAATTCTAGGAAACAGACATATTACAAACTCAATAGCTTAGTCAAGGTGGTGACCGGACAGAATATCGCAGGACAAATTGTCGCATGGACAAAACATTGAGTGTGAGTAGGAATCAAATAAACATAAACACAGCTACACACCCACATCCTTTTTTAAACCGAAAATATGTTGCAATATTTTGTCCTAGCGCCCTTAGTCAAATCTCAAGAGAAATCCAAATTCTTTTGGGGTTTTACTAGAACATGATGTAGTATCTATAGGCAGGAAGAAATCATTGAAATCGAAAGATGGTAGCTGAAAATGTTCTCTCATTAGTTGTACAAAGATAAAACAAGTGATTGATTACTTGAAATAACTTACTATAATTGCTGGTGTTGTTTGTCGATTTGGTATTAATATTTTATTCGATCCTCCGTCTGTATTCGATAAAAGTATTCGTTGTAATACTATAAAAAATAAAATATTTTATTAAAACAAGAAATTCATTTTGATATTCAATAAATAAATTACATTGATCACCGGTTGATGAATTATTTGTATTTACTGTTGTCGATGTTGTTGGTGTTGATGATGATGATATTGGCATTGGTGATGAATTTCCAACAAAAATTTGATGTAAAATATCATTTGATTTATTGGATGATATTGGTTGTTGTTGTTGTTGTTGTTGTTGAAAATTGACTAAGAACAAATAAAATAGACAAAAAAATAAAATAATTTTTGTTTTTATTTACTACTTGAAATAGGCATTCGTTGTCTTGGTACATTCATTGTTGATTGAACAGCATATCGTGGTTGAAGTGATGAATAATCTGTTTGATTAGTACCATTAATTTGTTGTGATGGATAATCTTGAGATACATCAACTGTTGTTGCTGTTGCTGCTGATGATGGTGGTGGAGATTGAGAATAGGATAATGTATTTATAGATGCTTTAGAAAAAGAAAATTAGAAAAAAAAAGAATCTAGGAAAAATTTAAAGATTTAATTACATTGATTAAATTTTTGTGGTTCACGTAATCGTGTCATTTGATTAAGAATAACTGGTTGAGAAGTATTCATTCGTGGTACTTGTTGAACAACAGGAAAACGAGGTGTTAGATTTGGCATGTGATTTAATGGATTTTGAACTTGATTAACAATAGATATAGATTGTAGTTGAGGAGGATTTGTTTGTGGATTTGGAAATCTTATATTGTGATTTATTTGAGGTTGTTGTGGTTGCAGTTGTGGTTGTGGCTGTGTTTGTGGTTGTTGTTGTTGTTGACTGGTACGATTATGAACAGCAGCTAGAAGATTTATAGAAATGTTCCATGGCTACTATGGACACGGGATATCTTTCTTAAAGTGGCCAACTCAAAAATTTGTGCAAAAGATGGTAATGAAACATGTCTTAGTACCTCATCATCGAAATACAAATTACAGAATTTCAGCGAAGATCATACTGACCCTCATTTATAATGTATTTCGTTCGTTTAAATTGATAATTTTTGCAACAAAGAACGACATTTCCAGGTAGAACTCAGTGAACTCCGCCGAATACACTCATTTTGAGCACACTTTGATTTATAATTTGCATCTATTTTCTAGAAATACTACGTTACGAAGTTTCATTAGTATCCGAAAATCATAGCGTTTTTAGGCTATTAACCATTTTCTAGTTTTTGTTCGTTTTGAATGCCGTAACGGTCGTTACATTGTGAATAGCGCAACTCTAACTAAAGTAAAATCAATGAAATTTTCAGTGATAGCAGATATACAATAGTCTCTCTCTATAATACAAGTTTCATAGAATTTACTTTTATTATTGACGAGAAATAGATATTACAATGTTTTAAAAAAAAATAAAATTTCATAACGCTTGGCCACAGCATACACTAAAAGTCAAATAATTCATTTCTTTTTTATCACTATATCTATTGTATCAAAACATTACTTTTATCTATCACTAAGCAACATTTATAGTTAACCTTTTCTACTCTATTTTTATTGTATATTTATAATAATATAAAAGTTTACCTTAAAGGACTGCACGATAAGAATCAAAATCTGTAACTCCTACAGTATTTTTATTGTTATCATTGATGAAAAGCCAATGTAGTTCATCGGCTTATGTATCGAAGGCACATGTGTAGTTAAAGATTGTTATGAACGCAATTTTTCTGTGCATAAATCGTTTTCATATGAAACACTGATTTAGATGTACCTTTCTTCGCTTTACAAAACATATATAGACACATGATAAGTTATCTTTCTTTTCTAAGAAACATATGGATCAGAATGACCTAAAAGCGACATATTTGGGAATAGTTCAAACGAAACATGTTTTCCGCTGAAGAAAGGACCTGTACTAGACCTGAGCACAGATAGGACGGTTCTGTTGTCCTTATCCAGTTTTGACCTGCACATTCTCGACACTTTTTTTAGAGTTTTTATGTGTAGTCCCTTAGGATATGTTTTCGATGCTGATCTCAATTTTCATGTTGAGAATTTATTTTGAATATTTCTTTTCATGCAAATGGTCTAAGTCAATGACATTTTATAAGATAATTGTGAAAAATTTCAAAAATTTTTGAATAACTATATTTTTGTAGAGCGAAGAAATGTACATCTAATTATAGTATTCAATATGAGAAATATTTATCGACAAAAAAATTTCGTCCATGCTACTCTTTAACTATACAAGTATCTCCGATACATAGACCGGTGAACCATATCGGTTTCTCATCAGAACAATATGTTCTTTCATACAATGTATATTTTAAAGTACTTTACGGACAGTCGCAGATTTTGACTCTTACCATGCGAAGTCCTTTTATCTCTTAGAAAAAAGTTCATCAACGATTAGCGAGAAATGTTTATAAGAATTACTTTGAATTTGTTGAAAATAAGCTTGAACAAATTTTAAATAATGAGGCTAAAAAATAGAAAATTTCGAAAAATAAATCAATTGCTTTTAATTTCTAATCTACTTTAATGCCATGTGATTTCTCAAATGCTTGTTCTTCAATTCGTTTTGATAATTGTAATGGCCATTTTGAAGTTCTACATATTAAAAATAAAACAATAGGAAAAATAAAAAGAAAAATTTATTATACAATTTTTGTATTAATGCTTGTCGTTCATTTGGTGTTACTATTGTTTGTCCATTAGAACCTGTTGGTTGTGGTACACTTGTACTCATCATCAAATCTGATTAAGAAAACAAAAAAGAGAAACAGAATTTTGTTTTATGGAATCAATAATAAAGAATCCATCAAGTGTATACGAACGGTTTTCAAAATAGTCTCTCATATAGAACAAAAAAAAGGGGGGGAAAAAATCTTGACAAATAATAACAACACAAATATAATGATAAGACAGAAACAAAAGAAAAAAAGACAGAGAGACAAGATTAAATATCGTAAATTTCTGTACAGCACAGAACAACAGAAAAAACAAAATGTGAAAAAAAAATTCTATCGTTGAAGAGTATTTGTTTGAAATTGCGAACATTGGGCTTTTATATGGTTTGGACTTCCACATATAAAACATTTTCGTCTTTGATTATTTGAATAAAATAAACGTTTAGAATTATTTGTTTGCTGTTGTTGTTGTTGATTTAATTGATATGAAAAATTTGGATAAATTATTGGTCGTTCATTTGAATATGGTTGTGTCCAAATACGTTGATGAGGTATTGCTTGATATGGATATTGATATCCATTTGTTGAATAATAATATTGTGGATATAAAGAATATTGAGAATTATTAGTAGAAATATTCGGATATGATTCATATTGATTGTTTATTAATATTTGTTGTTGTTGTTGTTGTTCGGGTATGTTTACCCGTTTTAATTTTTCTTTTTCATTTGCTAATGATATTAATTTTGGACAACGTTTACGAATATGATATAGTTCTTTACATTCAGGACATCGTTTTGGTGCATTTGTTGGACATAAATCATTAATATTAAATAGAATTGTCTATGTAATAAAAAATAAAAAAAGCATGACAATGTTTTATTTTTTCAAGAGTTATCTAGTTGGAAGTTTTTATATTCAAGTAATGTTATCTTTTTCTTTTTGAGAGATAAAAAATATATGATATATTTTCGTCTACAAATGAAATTATATGTCGAATAGATACTATTTTTGAATCTTAATAGATTACTTAGAAGTACTTAACGAGAGAACTTCCCCAGATATCAAGTCGCTTTTCGACTGAGACAATGTTTATTTGATGAATGCTAGTGAGTAATAGAAAAGTCTGGAATTGTTTCATTTGCTGGGCCTTCCGTTCTGAAGATATCAAAATTTTACTGGGTTTTTTAACAAAATGCTATGATCATGTAGAAAACTAACTTCAAGTTTCATTTCAAACGTTGTATGAACAAAGTTCTTGATGCGATCAGGTTGATTGTGCAAGTTTTAGCTTTTCTAGGATTTCCTTTTTTTTGGAAATGTAAACAAATGAACAAAATTTTGCTTTTACCTATGAGAGAATTTCGAATTTTGAATATCTCAGGATAGAAGATACTAGAAAAACTAAAAATTGTCCAATGAGCTCATCTAATCAATAACTTTTTCCATGTAAAATTTGAAGTCAAAACTGGAAAATCCGTTTCCCACGTAACCATAGCCTGTGAGATCTTAATCTCACTTCTACTTTATTTCTCTTCCAATCATTCTCTACGCAACATCGTAACGCTACATATAGAGTGACAATAAGCGTTGAAAAACTCCTAATGGAAAATCTCAAAAAAGACGAACAAAGGAAGGAAAAATCCATAGAACAACATGAAAGAAAGAAGAATAGAACGAAAGGGAAAATTTCAACGTTTATGAAAGGAAAGGAAAAATCCACGGTGCATGACTAACGATAAGAGACAAGAAGAAGAACATAAGTTCATATGTATAATCCTATAGAAAAGAGGAGAAAATTCTTATGACTGCATCTGAGGAAGATTCAGATCATAACACAACTTTTTGTTGAAAAATCCAATAAAATTTCGATATCTTGAGAACGAACACTTGAAACAAATCTGTTGTATACTTCATCGCCAAAACTCGCGCTGAAATGAATATTACCGAAAAAACAGATCATCGAAATGCAGATTGCCGAATATCTTTCTATCGTCTATGTTCACGAGTTTAGTTTCGGCAATATAGTTATCGGCGATCATCTCTTACGTTCACTCTTTCTCAGTATTTCTCATATTAATTCATATATATAGAATATGTTCACTTATACTGTGTGCATTGTGAATTATGACCTAATCTTTTCTTAGCTCCTAATTCAAGTTAGTCACTCACTTGACTTAATCACTAACTTGAATAAGGACTGAGTCAAGTTGGTGATTCACTTCAGTTGAGAACTTGTTTAATTACTCATTTAAGTGAGTTATTAACTTAGTACATCACTATAATTAGTATAGTAAAAAACGGGTGGGGCATAATGAATGGCTGATTTTCGCATTACATATTTTTACCAATTAATACGCATTATTAAACAAACAAAATACACCAAAAGATGCAACGCGAAAAGCTCTACAATTTACATAAGACCGATTTTTTTTGTAGTTACACTTTTTGCTTTCAACGTGGTCAAAATTTTAAGCGATCAAATTTCAAACGTGCGACAATTTATCGCCGAGAATTCTACATTTTTTTAGAGCAATTACAATAAGCTTTACTGTGTAAATTGTAGAGCTTTTCACGCTATATCTTTTGGTGTATTTTGGTTTTTTTTTAAATAAAAGATATCAGATGATAAAAAGATGAAATAAGAAAAAACGAATTTCATCTTGTACAAAAAAATCTTGTTTTCACGTGGTCAAAGTTAGGCTGCTCAAAATTTTGTCTATTTTGAAATCAAAAAGTGCAACTACAAAAAAAATCGGTCTTCTGTAAATTGTAGAGCTTGTCACGCTGCATTTGTTTTTGGTATATTTTGTTTACTTAATAATACGTATTAATTGATGAAAATATGTAATGCAAAAAACGGCCATTCATTATGCCCCACTCGTTAACAATATCGATACTTGTTTAGAAATTTTCGTGATCTTGATAAAGACGCTCATCTGATTGTTTTATCTAACATTCATGTTCAAGCTCGATAATATCTAATTAAAGAATAATAGAAGATATTTTTAACAGATCCTATTATAGTATTAAGTTAGCTTTTAATAAGGCTAAAAAAAAAAGAGATTTCTCCTTCAAAAAATTTCTACAATACTTTTGACAAATTACAAAAAGTTTTTGTTAAAAGACTAATTAATCTAACTTGAAAATAAAATTCTTACTTCAATAAATTGCATATCTGGCTTAGAAATATCAACATCTTTAGATTGTAAACCGAATTGTTGTCGTGCACGAATAAATACTCGACGAATAGTTGTCCAATCTAGATTTAAATAAAATTAATAAATATAAAAATCTAAAATAAATTAAGATTTTACTTCTTATAGATAATCCACCGGCTAAATTATGATTTAATTCAAATGGATCTTCAATAGCTATTGTTTGTCTAAACCAACCTTTTTCATATTTTAGTAATGGTTCAATTTGTCGAATAGTTACAATACGTTCATCATAATTAAATTGTTCAGTATAAAAACGTAAAAATTGAATCCATAATTCACCAATTGATAATTTATTTTCATTTTTCCATAAATCATTCTAAATTAAAATTTTTGATATAAATAAATATGTATTATTCTTCTACAAACAAGTTTAAGTAAATCGTCATAAAAATAAACATTCCATTTCGAGCATTTTCTATATAATGAATTTTTCTTTGTTGCACTATCACTAAGCTAAAATTTTAAATCATAAATTGAAAATTGTAAAAAAACCAGCAAAAACAAAAACAAACTTGTTGAAGAACAGGTAGAACAGGCGGTTGAATTTGTTGAAGAAAATGAATAACCATTATTATATATGCATAACTTGATAATGTACCACGACTTGCATCACCTATATCACATGTCTAAAATATAGAAATCGTTGTTTTTGATGAAATTTCTTGAGAAATATTTTTTGTTTTGTTTGAATAATTTTTTCTTCTTACTTTTGCTAAATGTTTTGTCATATAACCAAGTTGAGATACACGTGGATCAATATCAGTATATGCTTTTAATAAACGTGTGTTTTCAATAGCCTTAAGAAAAACAAATTTTTATTATATTGTTATACGTATGAAAATTATCGAAATTTTGAAGAAATTATTCAACTGTAAATAGCTCTGAGATGGAAATGATTCAGATTTTTCAAAATTTAAACCGAATCGAAACGAAAGTTAATTTGGGATATTGAGAACTAGTTCCACCTTTGTTCTGAAAATAAGCATGATATAATGAGTTTCTAGGAAATATTTCATCAATAGCTTAAGATTGTCAATTCATATTTGAAAGATGTAGAAGAATTTTACACCATTATTGTGCTCGAAAAAAATTTTTTTTTTGAAAAGATGCCCAAATCGACCAATAAAACGCAAGAATTAATTCAGAAAGTTCTTACAATGACATTTTTGTACGTGTTATGGAAAAATGTTACTATATGAGCCGATTAACAGGTTTGTCCAAGATGGGAAAAAAGTATTTTCGAGATCAAATCAAAGATTTTTATAATCAGTTTCACATAACAAAGATGATAAAAACTGTGCATCTGCACATAGAAGCCTCGAATCGGGCGTATACTTCAACGAAAAACAACGGGTTGTATTACGCTTCAACAAATACAAAAACTCTGTTTTTGCAGAATGGAGTAGAGTTATCCAAAATCTTGTAGGATTTCATGAATAATCTAGATCTAATCAAATTGAACATCTAGTCTTTTGACAAATTAGAGTTCCAGCAGTAACAGTACCTTTTTAAGGTGACAAAGGTTCTAGGATTCTAAGACATTTTACAAATTACTGTTTGGTTTCACAAGGCTTTGAACGATTTTGGAAACAGAGAGAATCTATAAATTCCATAGATCTTGAAATCACATTTCCTTATTTTCCACCCTGATATACATGTACTAGAATATTATATTATAATGCTGGGATGCTAAAAGGATAAGGAAACGATAGAATACCAAGGGGGAACAAGCAGACTTCAAGATTTCAAAAGATTCTAAAAGATTCCGAAAGATTTTAGAGATAATAGGTAGCAAGGCCTGCGTTTTCTCCTTGATCAGAATCAACCGGTTTTTGCTT